AAAAACAGGAACTACAATGGAGAGTAAAGGTAAGGCCTCAAGCCTCACTACACCCTGGGTTGTTTTAAGGGTTGCACCTGAGCTCGTCGACTGAGGATATACACGGTCAAGGCACCTACACTTGGCCCGATGGCTGTGTCTATGAAGGCCGGCGGGGTTGAAGCTGCAAGTTCACATGTTCTGCATGTTTTCATAGGTGCAAATATGGGTTCTGAGATTGTTCAGCTCGAATAGAAGCCCCTTAGCGACCCCCTTTCACGGCAAAGACAGAGAGGGAGAGAGAGAGANNGAGAGAGAGAGAGAGACGAGCTACATGCTCAACGATCCAAGACCATCCCGAAACCATGGGCACAAGACAGGCTTTCGATCCCAATCCTCAGAAAACTTAGACGGTCCAGCATTTCTGTTGAGAGGTCAATGGATCAAGCAGCAGATGGAAGGCACCGGTGTGTTCAAGTACCCCGATGGCCGCGTTTACAAAGGCTCCACTACTGCACCGATCTCCGAGCCAGAGCTTTCGGTGTAGCCGGGTCGATGCGACACCTTTGCTTGGTATCTTCTTGGAGGGTTAAAAGGTCTCTCGGGACGGGCGAGGCTCCGTCAGAAAAGGGCTGCAGGATTCTTCCGAGTCACATTGCGTCTTGCTTCAAGCCCCGAACAAGCTCAACAAACTGATGTGTAACGCTAAGAATGGGCTAAACTAAACCCTGCTACGTGCGAGGGAGTGAGTGAGTGAGTGTGTGTGTGTCGAAACCCTGCCGCGCTCGATGTTGGATTTCGACAGCGGTGCCCGCAGCATTTTTCCCAGCAGTGACTCATGTTTAGTTGAGGTGTATCAAGATAACCACTGAAAACTGAAAACTCGACGCTTGCCAGATTGTGCACTGCTGATCAAGCCAGCCAGCCCGAGTTACTCACGGAATGTAGCGTCTAGGCAGAACTAGGAGGTTCTACTTTACATTCCTCGAGTTTCATGCACTGCTCTTGCGTGCAGTTTACTACCTCCCCCAGAGTAGCCCTAAACCGCAAACCCCAAATCGCGAAGTGTACCCAGTCCAAACCCTAGCCTACAGGCTCCTATATGAAGAGCCAGAAGCACGGCGAGGGCACGCTTCAGTGGCCAGACGGTCGGAAGTACGAGGCTCCAAGCTTGCGGGCAAAGCTGTCGTAGATGCTGAACAAACGAGGCATGAAAGTTATCTGGCACAACGGTTTATGCATGTTTACACGTGTGCATCCTATGGTTTATGCCAAAGTCTACGCAATATGGTTTGTCCAGTTAAGCCAGTTCTTAGGATAGTCTTAATACAGGGGCGCAAGCTCCTGGATTCCGTTCTCCGAAGCCAGACACTACACCAGCTGCCGAACGGGTCCCGGAAGTGCACTCGCTGGAGCTCTAATATAGAAGCACAAACAATTACAAATATCATTCCTTACTTAATGTTCCATATGATGAAGAAAAACAATGGTGTCACCCAAAACCCTATTCTATTCACTAAGGCCTCAATAACGGTTTCATTTAGCCTTAGAGTGAGCCGCTGAAGGAACCCTACTCCGGCCCCTACATTAGATGCACTCAATAGCCTGAATGAGTAATTGCGATTTTCGCAGGGCTCCTTATTCTGATTATGCCATGATAATACCCCTATTAGGGCTCCTAAACCCTAAACTCTAAAC